GAAGGATGTTCATCCCAAAGTGCATAGCTAAATGTCTATGGAAGTTCTCAGTCATCCAGGTCATGATTGTCCCAAAAGTGCTTTTTCAGGAGGCAACTGGACTTTCTTGTTTTTCTTTTCTTTTCTTGGATGAGAAGCGAAACGTCTTCAAAGAAAAACAAGACAGTCCAGTTCCTCCTGAAGAAGCACCATTGGGACAATCATGACCTGGATGACTGAGAATCTCCACAGACATTTAGCTACGCAGTCTGGGTCCTCATTTTACTGACCTTGGAAGGATGGAACGCTGTGGGCAAAATGAGCCTGCAATGCTGCAGTCTAACCACTGTGCCAACCACGGCTCTATACCTACATGGCTTCCTCTGGATCCCGCAGGTCCCCTTGATCTTCTTTCCCTACACAACCATCTCTATCTGTGTTTTTGTCCACATTGGTGGGGTCTGACTCCAGGTATACCTATGGGAAACCTGTGCCCGGCCTGGTGAAGCTGCGCCTCTGCCGGCAACCCGAACGATTGCCTTTCCAGTGTAATAGCGGTAAAAGTCTGTGTAAAGAATTTGATGGTGAGGTAAGGGACGTCGATTTTCCACAGCTGGGATGTCTTTGTAGACCTATTTTAATTCTCATTTGTTGCTGGATTTTTTTTTTAAAGAATGGCGATTATATTTCCTTTGTCTTGATTCACTCCGGCAAACAACAGGGAGGCTGATATTCAGGCAATTGATCGTTGAGACAATTGAAAAATAATTCAAACAATTGAAAATACAGTAATCAATGCTCGCACGATTGAAACTGGATGGAAAAAGTTAGCAAAAAGGGACGTCATTCTTCCCCCGCAGTCTTCCCATTAAATTGCTCTGTATCTTCCCAGTTTCTTTTCATCTTAACCTTTCCATGTTCTCTCTGACTATATGCTTTGCAATCAACTTTTACTTTGCAACCACCACATTAACTCCAAGGTTAGCTTCAGACCAACAATCAAGTAAGCAATACCCCAATCAAGAAACTGCCACAGAGCCATTAGCAAACAGCCCAACCAAAGAATCTCTAAGACTGGCCCTCCATCCACCCAGTCAGGCAAGACACCAGAATATAAACTGACAGCAAACAGCACTCCTTCCTAGCACTGATGATGTTACCTAGTTTGGTAATGAAATGTCTGCAAGAAAACAAGCAAGCTCAGAGAGCACCCAGGACACCTCATGTCAGCCCTGAGCTACAAATATTCTCCCTTATTGATACCACACAGTATTTTTCTCTCATCATGGTTTCCACCAAGCAATTTCCGTTTTTATTCTTATCCACAGCCTCTTCGACTTCAGTATACGGTAACTCCATGTGCTTCTCTGGCATTTTGTAACTCTTCTCCTGTCATTGTGTGCCTGGCAGTTTCCTCGCCTTCTTCCCTCACACCTAGTTTCTATTTGTTCTGAAATAATATTTTTTTTCATGCAGTACTTGAACCACCCAACCATATTAACACAAACAACATTTGGCTAAAATGGACATCAATCGATCAGAATTGGAGCTGGAAGGGACCTTAGAGGTCTATTAGTCCAACCCTCTGCTCAAGCAGGAGACCCTATACCATTTCAGACAAGTGATTGTGTAAGGACCCACCTCAGCTAACCACCCAAGAAAGCAGAACTTTTGAAACAGGCGTTGTCTCAAAAGGAAACTTTTATTTGGGGTTAGTGACAGTAGGGAAGTCAAGGCAAGTTCTAGGGAAAAATCCCACTAAAACAGTATAGTTAAACCAGCAATATTCCTCCTCTCACCAGAGTCATAGTGTTCATTTGAAATCCAGCCAATTCACAGGTGGCACGATGTGTGGGTAACTGGCACAGTTGGCGCTCATCTCAAGGTCTTATTCAGTTTCGTTTCTCTGCAATCGTCTCCCTGATAGGGGAGACACATTCCTTTCTCAAGTGGATAGAGGCAGGAGAGGAAAGGTAGAAAGCAAAAGTTATCCCAAGCGAACGCAAAGTGCCCCCTCCCCCCAGCGGAATGGCAGGCCCCAAAACAAGAGCATATACAATAAGGATTTGGGGACCTGACAGGTTGTACAATCTCTTCCTATGTCTAGTTTAATGAAGAGAAGGACTAGGGGTAGCATGATAGCAGTCCTCCAATATCTCAGGGGTTGCCACAAAGAAGAGGGAGTCAAGCTGTTCTCCAAAGCACCTGAGGGCAGGACAAGAAGCAATGGGTGGAAACTAAACAAGGAGAGAAGCAACTTAGAACCAAGAAGAAATTTCCTGACAGTTAGAACAATTAATCAGTGGAATGACTTGCTTCCAGAAGTTGTGAATGCTCCAACAATGGAAGTTTTTAAGAAGAGATTGGACAAACATTTGAAATAGTATAGGGTTTCCTGCCTGAATGGGGGATTGGAATAGAAGACCTCCAAGGTCCCTTCCAACTCTGCTATCCTATCCTATCCTATCCTATCCTAACCTATCCTATCCTATCCTATCCTATCCTATCCTCCCCTCCCCTCCCC